GGGGGGGGGGGGGGTTTAGGGTGTAGGGTTTAGGGTTTAGGGTTTAGGGGTTTAGGGGTTTTGGGTTTAGGGTTTAGGGGTTTAGGGTTTAGGGTTTAGGGTTTAGGGGTTTAGGGTTTAGGGGCTTCGGGCGTGTCGCTTGCTGTAGCGGGAACATGAAAACCTCCCAAACCATGCAACAAAAATACGAACACATACCAAAAACCGACGAACAAAGTACCATAGGCGTACGAAATAGTGCCATAGGCGGGCCATAGGCATTCGATTACACACGCTCGTCATACCATGAACATACGATATCGTACCATGTCTTGCCGGGGATTCTGCTGTTGGAATTTGCTGTGGGGAGACTACTATTGTGTCTATCCAAACCAAACCTATAGGCCTGCTCCAAGGAAAGGAAAAACAGCACAGACCGACAATCCAGATTTGTAATCTTTTGTGTTTTTGGATGTTTCCTGGATTTTCCCTGACTGTTGTTCATTGTTGTAGTTTACTTGTATATGTTGTTGTTTGTACTGTCTGTACTTCGGTATGTTGGTATTTTTGGGTATTTTGGGAATGTTTTCTGGTATATTGGTAACATGTTCTGATATCATGGTAAGATTTTCTTGTATGTTGGTAATATGTTCTGGTATGCTGGTAATATTGTTCTGGTACGTTGGTAGTATGTTCTGGCATGTTGACGATACTTTTGTGTATGTATTTGTAGTTTTTCGTTTGCTGAACATGGCAAGAAAGTACCCTCTATGAAAATACTTCAATGATGCTATTGGTTGTTGCTTGTAGGATTTGCTTGGTTTCGGGTTGTGACTGGGGACGCATATGACGTAGCAGTGTCCTCTTCTCCTTGCCCGAACTTCTTCGTTGATTGGGGATGAGAGTGTTTAGAATTCAGATGCCGGAACGGGGTTGTTGCAACTGATGGCGCGTTTGAAAATTCAATGTATGCTTGAATCCCTGCCTGCTCTGTCCCCCGAATTAAACTACAACTCTCAATCGCTCAATCGTACAGCTTAGGCCAGGAGCTCTGTACAATCTTACAGCCCTGCGGCTTGAACTTCTAACATTTCCACCTCAGCTCTCGGCACTGTGGCCCTGAGCCTTACACTAAGGGTCCAAGTACCTAATAATCATATGCTCTCCCAAATAGTAACCTACATAACTACTATCCGAAACCTAAGTACCTGATTATTGGGTCCTTTGGACCCTTGGGGTTACACTTGTTTAGATCACCACAGAGTTCTCGGAGAGGGGTCCTGAATTAAGGGGTTTAGGGTGTAGGGTTTAGGGTTCTGGATTTAGGGTTTAGGGTTTAGGATTTAGGGTTTAGGTTTCGGGTTTAGGGTTTCAGGATTTGGAGGCTTGTCGGTGTGTAAGGGTGCGGGATTGTCCTTGCCATGGCTGCTTTCAATAGCTGTAATTCATACTGTTGATGATATAAATCCTGCATTACCCCGGAATAAGGAATATACCATAATTCCCCGTAGTTTAGGGTCCTCAACAGTAGTGGGATCTCCACTGCCTTTTAGCATATCGCAGACGCGTCGTGGAAACCCGAACATGAAGCGAGACGAACTTGTAAACAAAACTGTAGGGCCTAACTACGTACCAATACTATTTTCGGGGGCTCTTCATTATAATTACAGTATAGTACGCCCCCAAACCCTATTCTAGTTATGAAGGTCCTTATATTACCTCGCATTCTCGGCATAAGTGTTTATACTGGGTAATATAGGGGCCTGAATAATTCGAACACGGTTTTGGGCCCATTATACTATAATTACAGGAAGGAAGCCCCAAAATAGTATTGGTAATTACTCAGGCCCCTACAATAGGCTTAGAGATTCAGTGACCCGTGGAGGTACTCTCTCGGCCATGAGACATCGGAGGTCACTGCCGAAGCAGTCGACGGCTCAGGGGGTTTAGGGTTTAGGGTTCAGGGTTTCGTGTTTGGGGGATTGATCTGGGGGAGGGTGGGGGGTTTTGGGGGGCGGCGTGCGGGTGGGCTTGGGATTGGGCATGATCTTGAGATCCGTAAGCCGTAAACAAGCTACAAACCTTACCGATTACCGGGCCCATCGAAAGCTTAGGGTGTTCTTGTGTGATGAGGCCATGAGCTCTGAAGGTGTCTGTGTTCGTTTCCCCCTTTGCTCACAACCGGGCTCAGGGAGATGACAGGCCCTCCTAACGTACTGACAATGATTTTGACCCTAACCCCCGAGCATTAAACGGAATGTAAGTTCCAGCTTGACTCATGTGAAGCAACAGCCAACAGCGAAAATAAGGGCCCCCGACGTATGCGAGAATTTATGGTTCAGTGCTTGGAGTGCAGATAAGGGTTTGGTGTTATGGCTCGAGTCAGGATTCGGTTCTAGCGCATGCGATACATGACGCGCATCCTGAACCTCCACAGGCCCGGAACTGTAGCACATTTGCTTCCGGAGGCTCCGGCAATCAGAATTTTGAGTAGCCCTAAGAAGGAGCTACATCTGGAAAGTCTAAAGTTGATACCGGGCTCGGAAGAGTACCCAATGCCGTTCCTTTGGGTTCCATCTGATAACAATACTACAATCTCGGTTCTAAATATGAAGGCCCTTCATACTGTTGCTAAAACGCGATAGAAAGCCGTATAGGATCCTTTAAAGATTGCTTAGGGTTTAGGGTTTAGGGTTTACGGTTATAGGACCCGTTGAAGATTGCTTAAAGGAGAAGAGTCTGCCCGATGCAAGGCCTCGGTGCGCGAGCGGCTCATCCCATCTTTGCATCAGGAGGCACCCTTCTGATCCTTCTGCTGTCTCTAGGGTTCAGGGTTTAGGGGTTTAGGGTTCAGGGTTTAGGGTTAACCCTATAAATCTGTAAATATTCGCTATTTCATAGGTTTGACGGGAAAACAGATGCGCGCCGCAAGCCTTCAGGCACGGTGCAGTTTATACATACGGTAGGCTCGGGTTTTGAGTGTGATTTGGGAGTGGGGTGGGTGTCATTGTTGAAAGCTCGGCTGGAAACCTTATTGTAGCTTTTTCATATGGGTAATTCTCTAATTTGGGGTCCCTTTTAGGGTCCTGTTTATCAGGGTGCCGTACTATGTTTCAACCTAACAAGGGACCCCGGTTTAGAGAACTACCCATATACTCTAGCCAGCACTGACTACAAGGTTGACTCAGTTTGGCTCAAGAACTCGGTGGGGTTGTGGGAGTCTGCTTAAGGGTTCAGAAGATATCCCAAGTTAAGAAGGTATGTAGGACCAGACCATACTTAAGCTTGAAGCGGACGGGTGGTTGCACGGTTTAGGGTTTAGGGTTTTAGGGGTTTAGGGTTTTAGGATTTTAGGGTTTAGGGTTTAGTTAGGGTTTAGGGTTTTGGAACACCCTGCGAAGAAGCAAAAGAGGCTCCCCGATTTGGGCAGAATCCGAGCACCGGAGGCCGCTGATGAAGCAAGGCTTGGGCGAGCAGCGTCCGCCTCCACAAAAGCCGGCCCAGAGGGTCCAGGTACCCAATTCGTATATAACTTTGGCCCCAAAGTACCTATATAGAGAGTACTTTAAGGCCAAAGTAGGGACTACTTTAAGGCCAACGTATATACTACTTAGGTACATGGACCCTTAGGGTGCTTGCGAGGCAACCCGGTGATTCTGGGATGCTGCACGTCAGCCGAAACTCTAAACCAAAACCCTAAACCCTAAACCCGAAACCCTAAACCAAAACCCCAAACCAAAACCCTAGACCCTAAACCCCTACGCTGAGCCCCGGCATCGGCCCACCGGCCTCGCGGAATCGCCCATCCAACAGGACTGACTCATGGTTTTTTGTTTTCACATAGGTGTTTTGCTTTGAAAACAACCACAAACCTAGGTTTTTTTAAAAAGCCTATGTAAGTTACAGCGCTTGCCTGATGCAGCACTGCATCGGCCAAGATCAGCGACGGAGAAGATGCCACCTTCATGCTTGGAGGCATAGAGCTTGGAGAGGTGCTGAAGGCCCAAGCGGTTTGGGGTTTAGGGTTTGGGATTCAGGGTGTAGGGTTTGGGTTTGGGGTTGGGGTTTAGGGTTTGGGGTTTAGGGTTAAGGGTTTAGGGTTTAGGGTTTAGGAGGCTTGCGGCCAGCGGCAGCAGAAGCAGAGGCACTGTCCCGAAAGAAGCTATGAGTGTAGCTTCCGCAATCATAACCCTACGGGCTGGGTCCCCCTGATGATTAGGGTTTAGGGTTTAGGGTTTAGGGTTTAGGGTTTAGGGTTTAGGGTATCTTTGGACCGTGAACCCTAAGCCGGGGTTTCGAGAACCTTTAGTCTTCATGGTGCAGGTTTGGTCTAGGAGTTCGGATCTGAGGGTGAAAGAGGGTCGAGGATTTAGCCTGTGCAGTTGATATTTATCTGACTAGATGGTGATGTGAATAGTCACCTCAATATTCCTTTATACTCCCAGTACCATTCTGCTAGAACCTACCTCAAGACCCTATGGACGAAACAAAACCCAAAACCCTAATTCTTAAGCCTTAACGCGCTTATAGGAGGTTGAGGCTTTCCCCCATCGGTGGCGCAGGCCCGCAAAGACCGACAACCTAAACTCTTGGCCGGACTCCCCACATAGGGTCTAGGGTTTAGGGCTTCAGCGTTTACGGTTTAGGGGTTTGGGTTTAGGGCTTCAGGATTTAGGGTTTAGGGTTTAGGGTTTAGGGGTTCAGTGTTTAGGCATCCACCCAAGTTCAAGCTCGCGTTCACCTGAGAATGGCCGGCCAAGGCGGTTTGGCCAGGACCCGAAAACTGTGACCCTGTATGTTTTAATTTTGCCCTTCTCTTGAAATCGCCAGAGACTAGAGGGGCCTTCATAACCTCAGTTTGTGCGGGATCAGGGAACATGGTAAGGTAGAGCAGAGCATCATATTCGATAGTTATCTGAAGGCCCCTAAACCGCGAACCCCAGATTCTAAGCCCTAAACCTTATGAGAGCCTACGCCCCCTGCCCAAACCTCTAAACCCTAACCCCTCAAACCACCAAAAACCTTAAACCCTAAAATCCTAAATCCCTAAACCCTGGGACTGCGACAGCCTATGACGATCCGCTCCAGGCGGCAGACCTAGCGGCCCAGTGGCTCCCACCGGGCCACCCAGCCCGGAGCTCAACCTACCTGAACCCCCAGATAACCTGGCTGCTTGTTATGATGTCTTTATATTCCTTCAACATGGTAGGTGATTTAGGGTCCAGGTACATCCTGAAATAGGGGCCCCAGTGAAATAGGACCGTTCAGGGTTTGGGGGTTTGGGGTTTTGCGGGGTGGCGGGGGGGATAGCTTCATTTGGTGAAGCGTGGGGGCCTCAATAGCCAGGCTAGCCGGTTGAAAAGTATTGGGTTCGTACGGGCTTTACAGGGTCCTAGAGGGCCATGATGGTTACACCAAGGTTCCGGTCTTGATCTAGTGAACGATATGCGGACAAAAAGCGCGGCGGCCTCGCTGAAATTTAGGGGCCTCTTAAAATGGCTTCTCAGCTGTTAGGGCCGGTAAAGGCTGCGGGTTTAGGAGTTAAGGGTGTCTGCGTGATTTGAGAGGGTTTCCATCAGTTTGCAAAGACGTTCATAAAGGCTTACTTTCAGGACTTCATCGTTTTTTAAATAAGATCCCAGAGAGCTTAACGAGTCTGTTCTTTGTTTCGCTTCTAAGCCCTAAACCCTAAACAACACTCCCTGAACCTTGAGACCTTCAGTCTTAACCCTAACCCAGTGACATACGTGGCAGGTCACGATTAGGGTTTGGGGTTGGGTTTAGGGTTGAGGGGGTCGCGGAGTTGTGATTATGCGTCTTATAGGGCTTTTACGGGGTTTCCAACCCTCTGCAGGTAACGGGGCTTCCAGAGTCTGAACACCACACCCAAAAGGCTGAACCCTAAACCTGAAGCGGTTTAAGGTTTAGGGTTTAGGGTTTAGGGGTTTAGGGTTTAGGGGTTTAGGGGTTTAGGGTTTAGGGTCTTAGCCAGCCCCTTTCCGAGATCACGAAAGAAAGCAAGAGACTAGCAGAAGACCGAGGCACAGCAAGGAGCCTTCTAATGGAAAGCGACAGAGCAGCAACCACAGCAGCAAGGCAATCGACGCGCAAATCCGAAGCAAGAAGATCTGCAACCTTGAAGCCTAAGCCCTAAACCGTACTGAAGCTCCTAAACCCTGAATCCTAAGCCCTAAACCCTAAAGCCCTAGACCCCAAAGCCTCAAACCGTACAGAAGCTCCCTGCAGGTGCGAGAGCTCTCGGAGCGGACAGAGGCCGTCTGCGAGGGTTATGAGTTAAGGCTTTGAGTGGGGTGCTATAGGGGTCCAAATAACTACCTCTACTATTTGTGGGGGTTCCTGATTATGATTATAGTATAACGGGCCCCCAAACCCTATTCTAATTATTAAGGCCCCAATATTCGGGGGTTCAAGAGTGGATCAGGGCGCTAACTAAACCCTAAATCCCAAGCCCTGGCGTTAAGAACCTCAAGGGTTTCGACAGCGCTTGGGGTTCCGGGGTCAGGATTTAGGCTATGCTCTCCAGGAAGTTAAAGTTCAAGGTTCTGGGATTCAGGGGTTGGGGTTGAGGGCCCCTTTGTGTGGACGTGGAGGGCTCAGGAGGTTTAGGGTTTAGGGTTTAGGGTTTAGGGTTTTGGTTGCTGAGTTTGGGGTGCAGGGCTTTAGTATTGACGACGGGATAGTTCGTAATATTAGGCCCTCATCGTAGTGCTTGTAACAACAGTGTCATATACCCCAAAAACCTATTCTAATTATGGAGGCCTCTTTTTTACGGTTTAGGCCCCAGGCTGGACCCTAAACCCTAAACTGCCCTAAACCCTAGATCCTAAACCCTGAACCCTAAACGCTAGATCCTAAACGTTAAGCCCTAAGCCCTAAACCCCAAGACTTGGGTGTTTGGGTCACAGGTCTCCTTCTCTAAGCGACACAGCGCGGGGGCAGAAGTTTCCTCGGGAAAGAGCCATTGAGAAAGCCAAGGACAGTAGGGTTCAGGGTTTAGTGTTTGGGGCTTACGTTTTAGGGTTCAGGGTTTAGGGTTAAGGTCATCCCACGAGACCTGGCTTTGGCTGCGTAGGAACCCTAAGCCTTACACCCTGGGTTTAGGGTTTAGGGTTTAGAGTTTAGGGTTTAGGGTTTAGGGCCCTAATCTGTAGGAATAGCCCGTTATTCTGCCGCCCAGTAGGGAGGAATTTGGCTGCCGCCACTTGCCTTTCACGCTTCGTTGTTTGCCAAAAGAAACCCTAAACCCCAAATCCTGAATGCCGGCGGTACGTCTGGTTTATGGGGTTTAGCTTTCAGCTTTTGGGATTTATAGCCCTAAGGGTCCATGTGCTCATATAGTATATACATTGGCCTTAATGCAGTCCCTATATAGGTCCTTAGGGCCCATGTATATGCTATATGAGTACATGGACCCTTAGGGTAGGGTTTCTAGGGTTTAGGGAAAGTTCAGGGTTTACGGGTTGGATTTGCATGCGAGTCTCTGCTTCCTGCATGTCAGTCCCTCAGCGCGCCCGCTGATCCCTGGCCCGAGGTTGCTCAGGTGTTCGTAATGTAGGGGCCTAAATAATTACCAATACTATTCGGGGGTTCCTTATAATAAAATTCTGGTATATTATAGTATCTTGGGCCCCAGAAGCCCTCTGGCTCAAGCATTTTGCTTGAGCACGGCAATTCGGAGGCCCTTCTGAAGGGTCGGAGTCCGATAACGGTCGATTTCCATGGCGGAGATGCATCCCGACGACGTCGCGCACAGTTCGGGTTTAGGGTTTAGGGTGGATCCCGAAATTGCTTTGCATTCCTTGTGGCCGAAGCCGAAGCCTCATCGATAAGTGTAATACGGTCTCAACTTCCATAAACAACAACTACAGAACTCCCTGGTACATTCCCGAAAACCTTACCAACACCTTCAAAAACCTTTGAAGAAGGCGCTTAAGAACCCTAAACACTAAGCCTTAAACCTTGCACCGTCAAGAAACTCTTAAAATGTTAAACACAACTTCGCTTGATTCCCTTCAAAGGCCCTTGTCAAACCTTGAAGAGCCTTTACACCCTGCACACCCTGTGAAAGTAGTTAACATAGGGGTGGGAATGATGTTAGCAATGCCCTAAACCCTAAACCCTAAGCCCCTAAGCCCGAAACCCTATGACTATGTTGTACTTTTCGCCAAATCCCATTCCATTTTGCTTCCGGTTTTTCTGCTCTCCCCGATCAAAGCCTAAACTTAACCCTACCTACAGTCTCCACTGTATTTCCTTTTTGGGGATGCCTCATAAAATCCTTAATATATGAATGGTTAAATCGAAAAAGGAACTACAATGGAGACTACAGATAAACTCTAAATTGTGCAATGGGAGGCGCAGGAGGCGTCACGAAGGGCAGACACCGGAGCTGCAGGCACCCTTGGCATTGGGAGCGTAATTAATATAGGAGCCTAAATGATTACCAATACTATCCTGCTGATTCCTTACTATTCTGATTACTATAATATGCCCCAAAACTAGGGGGTTCGAGCAGACTTTCACAGTAGAGTTTAGCATTTTTTGGCTGAGAAGGGTCTCCTTGAGGGCTTCGAGTTTTGTAAAAGGAATATGGGTTTTGAATCGGGTCTATATAGGTTCTTTTGAGGACAACTCCGTAGGATTGCAGCAAGCTTGCACCAGGTTTTGATATTTATGTGTCTGCAAGGGTACTGTAGAGTACTATAACAGATGAGGGTCCGCTTTATAGTGTTCCAGAATAGGGTCCCCTGTAACAGATACGTCTCTGGTTCGGGGGTTCGGGTCACTGTCGCCAAACGGAGCGCCTGCAATCCCAGAGGGTCCATGTACCCAACTGGTATATACTTTGGCCCCAGAGTACCTATATATAGTGTATATTATAAGACCAAGGCGTATACTATTTGGGCACATGGGCCCTTAGGGAATGCACAGCGGAAGCACGGCAGCTAGGAGACCAGGGGAGCGGCGTCTTATCGCAATCTAAGGTTGAACCCATGCGCCCCTAGTATGGGCCCTTCATCCTGGTCGTAGTCCATGGTAGCAGCAGCAGCAGTAGCAGTAGTAGCAGCAGTAGGAGGAGTAATAGTCGTGGAACATCAGGGTGCTCTGTGTTCCCAGTTGTTCTGTGCCACCCGTTGTGGGGATCAAGAGCCGTTGCAGCCGGGACTTTATACCCTGGCCTACTACAGATTGAGAGCCTTGAGGGTTTAGGGTTTAGGGTAAAGCCTCATGAAAACCTAGATACCCATTGAGGTCCGATTGAAACTTTTGCCAAACCTGATACGAAAGAACTTGCAACTTGCACATCCAGCTTTGCATAGGGCTTCGGCAATCGCTTCGTCCGAACCCGTAAATTGTTCCTACGACGCTAAGCTCCGAACCCCTGCGTCCTGAAACAACCAACCACGAGCCCTGAACCCTTAGCCAATGCCCCGTAGGTAAAGCCACCAAATCCCTAAATCTCGACACCCCCAATCATTCTGAATAACCAGGTTCGATTCCTAAGTGAGGAACGCTTGCTGTTGCCAACCTCTGTGTCATCTGCCGAATCACTTCGTCTTCTTCTTGAGGAACTAACAATACTAAGTGGGTTGATCTAGAGATTTGTTTCTCTCTTCAAAGCTTCCACCATGACCTCTGTATGCCTTGCAGGAGCCGCAGGTGAGACTTGAACCGTGAGTTTCAGAACCCTACACCCAAAACTCCGCTACACCCTATTTAGGGTTTAGGGTTGGGATTTAAGGCTTAGGGTTTAGGGTTTAAGGTTCTTTACTCCTTACGCAACCCGAACTTCCAAATCGTGAGTTCCGAGTTGTAAACATTACCTCTAATTCTATCTCTTTCATCGTTCCCGCATACAGTTCTATTAGAAATTGCACCAAAGTCCTATTCCAATTATTAAGGCCCCTAGGTGACACCCACCCCAACGGTTAGGCCCCAAACCCTACACCCTAAACCCCTAAACCCCCAAACCCTATACCCTAAACCCCTAAACCCTAAACCCTAAAGGCCCCAAGCCCTCAACCCTACAAGGTGAGCCGATGCAGGATCCATGGGGCCTGAACCAACTGCACGTGACAGACGACGAGCCGAGGCTCGGCACAGTTGGAATGACTATAGCTTTACCCCAAAGGTCCAAAGGACCCAATAATCGTTTAGGGTTTCGGGTTTGGAGGTTTAGAGGTTTAGGGTTTAGGGTTTAGAGTTTTAGGGTTTAGGGTCTAGGGTACCCCATATAGCTTTACCCCAAGGGTCCAAACGACCCAATAATCAGATACTTCGGTTTCGGGGTTTAGGGTTTAGGAGTTTAGGGTTTAGGGTTTAGGGTTTAGGGGTTAGGTACCCCAAGGGTCCAAAGGACCCAATAATCAGGTACTTAGGTTTCGGATAGTAGTTATGTAGGTTACGATTTGGGAGAGTATATGAATTTTAGGTACTTGGACCCTTAGGGTTATAGTAAACCAAGCTGGAAACCGGATCAAGGACAAATAGTGCTGGGATTCCCGATACATTACTCTTAAGGGTTGAGGCTATTAGGTTTCCAACTTTTGGGCCTTGACTGTAGGCTTTACACGGTTTAGGGTTTAGGGTTTAGGGTTTAGGGTTTAGGGTTTAGGGGGACCTGGGTCCTGGTTGGCTACAATTTCACACTTCTGTTATTGTAAAACCCAATAAGGATTAAACATGATCGTGTTTAATATATCCCCAAGAGGAACCAGTAGCCTAAACCTTGTTTATGGTTTAGCAGCTGAGCCTGGAATCAAGCTTCGAGATCTGGGCTTGCTGGGTGTGCGTTGAACTTGCCGGGGCTGGCTTACAAGACCCATAACTAACGCCTCCCGCTCTTTCTGTCTCTTTCGCGCTCTCTCTCTCACTCTCTCTCTAACTCTCTCTTTCTCCTGCTCTCTGTCGTTCTGTCTCTGTCTGTCTCGCTCCTGTATGTATGTATGTATGTATGTATGTATGTATGTATGTATGTATGTATGTATGTCTGTATGTCTGTATGTATGTATGTATGTATGTATGTATGTGTGTGTGCGTATGT